ATCGTATCGTTTCGTATAGTTATCGCTACCGAATCGTATACGACCGTCGTTCGATAACGAATTTTCGGCGGTTGATCACATGGCGCGGTTGATGCCCCGATGACGTCACGACAGTTAATCGGAGCGAGAAGACAATACGACGTCATGATTAATACTGTTATTAATATTAGCAAAAATGTGGCGACAACAAAATGTGTACAGTAAATTCTCCACAAGTGTCAGTCCGCAAGGAACCTAAACCTGACACTTGTAGAGTCAGGGACTACGTTTTCGAGCCTCGCGCCCGCCTTTGTAGTTTGCCGAACGTAGACAAGGACAGCGAATAAAAGATAAGGATGAAACGTGAGTCGAAGCAACCAAGAGATTTAAATTCATTTTCATCAGAAAAATCTCACCAACATGTTAAAAAAAATTTCAGATGAATAAAAGTAAAATTAAAGAAATTATATTTTTCTATTATGAATTGTCGAGCCGTGAAATCTCGTAAAAGAAACCGAGTGGTGTAGCGTTACACGCTTGACCGACAGCGAGCGAGATAACATAGGCGCAGCAGTGACGCAGCCTAGGCGTAGTACCATCTATACTGACACTTGTAGAATCCAAACTGACTGACACTTGTGGAGAATTTACTGTAATCGGATCGCGGTTCTTTGAGGGAGCTACGCCGCGGTGCGTTTGATGCCGCGCTCGTGGTCGCGAGAAGGACGAAAAGCGAGGCGTTTGCGAAGCGTGCACGAGACGACGAAATCGTTTTACAAAAGCTTGAAATTGTCTATTCCGTTCCATCTTCTCACAAAAATATTGTTACAATAGGGCCACCCTTTTAGATTGAAACAAAAAAAAATGAGCTCAATTCGTCCAATAGTTTCCGAGATAAAAATCGACAAGCACAGCCCGTTTTCATGAAAACGGGCAAAAGTTGCCGAATTCAAAAGTCCGTATTTTTTAAACAAACTCGAAAGCAGATAAATGATGACTTAAACTCCCCCTAAAATCACGTGTACTACATAATATTTCATTTGGAACAAAATCCCTCGTGTCGACGTCGAAAAGTGATCGATTTCGCGCGGAATCACCCTGTAATTCTTTTTTTATTTTACTTTCGAGGTTTTGCATTTTCTGCTCAATTGTTTTTAAGCTCTGGAAACTATCTTTATTATTCGGAAATTATAAATAAATATTTATTTTGCATTTTTCTTGGTGAAACGTTATTTTCAACATTGAAAAAATTTTTCTCTAGAATGCCAAGGTTTTGCATGCTATTCATTCAGAGAATGATGTCACAAAGAATCATTAAGTAAGTACGTATAACCTCGCGTGCCGACTCATTGTCAGATAGTCGGCCGAGACAGCCTGACTCTCTTTAAAGCTGATTGACCGCACCCCTCATAAACAGCTTTGTTGAAACAATATTTGTGTGCTTTTTATACTTGTATCAATTAGATGTCACAGACACAAACGTTTATTCAGTTGCAAAGATAATTTTGCAATTACAGATAAAAGACCAATTCATAAACCGACTTTTACGCATTGATGACTAAAAGTGTCTGTTGTTCTTCAAAGATTAACTTTGTCCATTGAAATTTTTATGTTATCATTTATCTTAACTAAGCTCTGAATAATATTCTCATTAAAAATTTATCGTGACTTAGAGTGACCTTCGTTTCGTATAAATAATTCAATCGGAGAATATGCGTTATGCAAAGGAGGATACTTTTAACAGTGTTCGAATCCGGGGGAGGAAAGTAAATATCGATTATATTTTAACAATATAACCTTTATTTTGGCGATGATAATTGCACACGCGGATTCCGTATGACAATGCGCGAACTTCACGAAGAGAATCTTTATGATTTGTAGAAAAAAATCACTTACCCCAAAGATAACTTATT